TGACTCCTATTCTTTTTTTTTTTTTTTTGAGATGGAGTCTTGCTTTTTTGCCCAGACTGGAGTGAAGTGGTGAGATCTTGGCTCACTGCAACCTCCGCCTCCTGGGTTTAAGCAATTCTCCTGCCTCAGCCTCCAAAGTAGCTGGAATTATAGGCACCCACCATGACGCCTGACTAATTTTTGTATTTTTAGTAGAGACGAGGTTTCGCCATGTTGGCCAGGCTGGTCTCAAACTCCTGACTCAGGTGATTCACCCGCCTGGCCTCCCAAAGTGCTAGAATTACAGGTGTGAGCCACCGTGCCTGGCCTAAAGCATTTCTTGTTTGTTAGCTTTTAAAGTTCATTCTCGGCTGGACGTCATGGCTCATGCCTGTAATCCCAGCACTTTGGGAAGCGGGGACGGGTGGATCACCTGCGGTTGGGAGTTTGAAGCCAGCCTGACCAAGATGATGAAACCCCATCTTTACTAAAAATACAAAAATTAGCCAGGCATGGTGGCATGCGCCTGTAGTCCTAGCTACTTGGAAGATGAGACAAGAGAATTGCTTGAACCCAGAAGGTGGAGGTTGCAATGAACTGAGATCACGCCACTGCACAGCTGCCTGGGCCACAGAGTGAGACTCCATCTCAAAAAAAAGAAAAAAAAAAAGTTTATTATCATTCATCTAATAGCAAGGGGTGCCCGCTTACCTCCATATAGTCATTCAGGAGCCCCGCTCCTTTCACTGGGGGCTCTGGTGCCTCTGCCCTTTATATCCACTAACGAGTGGGGAAGCGGAACATCGAACCTTCTAGCAGGGCTTAGCATTCGTTCCTACACCCCCAATCTACTCGTGCATCTCCTAGCCCTACTTGGGGCAGGGGCATCCCCTCCCCAGTTGGGGCCACACATGCTGACAGATGGCTTCAGCCATCTGTCCCTGGTGCCACCGAGTGACCTGGGGGCAGAGCAGCTGCCTAGCTCGGGGCTGGACCCTGGGGGTCCTGGTTGGGGTGGTCTCAGCATGAAGAATCCAGGCTGAAGGCAGTGGGGGATGATGTCAGGTGCTCCGGACGTCTCAGGGGACAGAAAGGAGGATGGGATCAGATCCCAGCTCCACCAGGGCCACCAAGCCAGCTGGGGTGTGGGGGGGAGGACAGGGTGACTGATTTATTTATCATGCTTTGAAAATCTACCTACTTCCTGGCTGGTTGGTAAATGGCCCTTGCCCTTGGTCCCCTGAGAGATCTAGCTACAGAAAGGTTCACCACAGACCTCATCAAAGCCCTGGCTGCCCTGGGATCCTCCAGAGGGGAGGCTGAGGCTCCCGAAAGCCAGGCCGGGCAGGGCTTCCTTGACGCTGTCCCCTCCGTCCTCCCTCCCAGCGGTCTCTCTGTGCTGATCCGCGTGCGCCTGGAGCTGCGGCGGCACCAGCGCGCCGGCCACACCATCCCGCGCATCTTTCAGGCGGTGGTGAAGCGGCAGCCCGAGCGCCTGGCGCTGGTGGACGCCGGGACCGGCGAGTGCTGGACCTTCGCGCAGCTGGATGCCTACTCCAATGCGGTGGCCAACCTCTTCCTCCAGCTGGGCTTCGTGCCGGGTGACGTGGTGGCCATCTTCCTGGAGGGCCGGCCCGAGTTCGTGGGGCTGTGGCTGGGCCTCGCCAAGGCGGGCGTGGAGGCCGCACTGCTCAACGTGAACCTGCGGCGCGAACCCCTGGCCTTCTGTCTGGGCACCTCGGGCGCCAAGGCCCTCATCTTTGGCATTGAAATGGCAGTGGGTGAGGCCAGGCGTGGGCATCAGGTGGGCGGGGACCTGAGGCATCCCCCGGGCGGGCGGAGAGATGCGGCGCCCCGGGCCTCGGAAGGCCACTCTGGTTGTGGCCATGAGGTGCACGGTCTGGGTATGCCCCGAGCAGGGAGTTGGTGCATCCCAGGCCTCGGGAGGGGGCCTGTCTGGAGGTGACTATAACCCATGTATTGGGGACCACAGCGGTGGCCGAAGTGAACAGGTATCTGGGGAAAAGTTTGATCAAGTTCTGCACCGGAGCCTTGGCGCCCAAGGGCGTCATGCCAGACACCCACCTCCTGGACCTGCTGCTGAAGGAGGCCTCCACTGCCCCTTTGGTACAGATCCCCAGCAAGGGCATGGACGGTGAGTCAAGGGTGGGACCCTTCCATGCCTGCCCTATCCCCCGTTCCCTACCCGCCAGGCCCCGCCCCCAACTCCAAGGCCTCGCCCACCCCAACTCCTAGGCCACGCCCCAAATCCCAGGCCCCACCCCCAACACCTGCGTCTCCTGCAGATCGTCTTTTCTACATCTACACGTCGGGGACCACGGGGCTGCCCAAGGCTGCCATCGTCGTGCACAGCAGGTGAGGGGCCCACGGGCATAGTACCTTCAGCAGCTGAGAATGACCCAGGCTGTCTTGCCATCCCAGCCTGCCCCTCAGCTCCTGTGGGGTCAGTGGCATTTCCACCTTACCCTGGGGACAGAGAGGTCAGCCCATGTTTCCTGAGCACTTACTCTGTGTCCAGAGCAGGGCTAAGCCCTCCACGTGCACACTCATTGGAACCCTAAGGGCTTGGGGCTGGACGAGGGCATCACACCCATTTTCACACCCACGGCCCATCTTGGGACCCGGTTGCCCTGTGCCCACTACTCTGGGGCACCTCTCATTCCCCCACCTGTTCACGACATCCAGCCCATCAGCAAAACCCATCTTCTCCATCTGTCCACTGTTTTCCATGACCTCCACCTGGACCTGTGCCAGCCCCTCCTCGGGCTTGTCCTGCTCCCCCAACTCTCCCCTCCACCCGAGACGGCTCCTGCCAGCAGCCACAGGAGGGCTGAAAATCCTAAATCAGACCTCCCCTGCCCCAGACCTCCCTGCACTTACCTTGACCCTCAGAATAAAACCCTCTTTTGGGCCAGGTGCGGTGGCTCACGCCTGTAATCCCAGCACTTTGGGAGGCTGAGGCAGGCAGATCACTTGACTTCAGAAGTTTGGGACCAGCCTGGCCAATATGGCGAAATCCCGTCTCTACTAAAAATACAAAAAATAGCCGGGTGTGGTGGTGCATGCCTGTAATTCCAGCTACTCAGGAGGCTGAGGCAGAATTACTTGAACCCAGAGGTGGAGGTTGCAGTGAGCCGAGATGGCGCCACTGCACTCCAGCCTGGGTGACACAGTAAGACTCCTTCTCAAAAACAAACAAACAAACAAACAAACAAAACCCTCTCTCAGTTCGTGTGGCCTCTGCCACTACCCTGGTGTCATTTTCCTCCCCCCACCCCTCGCTCACTCCTCCTGAGCTCCTCAAACTTCCTCAAACCCACACATTCCTTCTAGCCTCGGGGCCCTTGCATGCTCTGTGCCTGGGCATTCTCCCGTAGCTCGCCCCTACAGCTCTTTCTTGCTAGGTCTCAGATCATGCTTCACCTCCCCAGACAGGATTCCCCAACCCCCCGGGACTGCGTCACCATCAGCGCCTCCCTGCCCCTTGACCCTACTATACCCCCGTGACGCCTACCACCACCACCAATTGTTCGTTGCGTGTTTTCTTCCTGCCAGCCTGTGAACCCAGAGTTGTGCTGGCTCCGCCTGGGTCCACACCCAGCATGCTTCTTCATGCCCATGCCCTGGGGGATTTTGGTCCTAGCCCCTGCCCTCCCGGCTCCACCTCCCCCCCACAGGTACTACCGCATCGCAGCCTTCGGCCACCACGCCTACTGCATGCAGGCGGCTGACGTGCTGTATGACTGCCTGCCCCTGTACCACTCAGCAGGTACTACGGGGCAGCCTGAGTAGGGAATGGTGGTGGGTGGGGGCGGGGGACCCCTCACCGAGGCCACCCTCTGCAGGAAACATCATAGGTGTGGGACAGTGTCTCATCTATGGGCTGACAGTCGTCCTCCGCAAGAAATTCTCGGCCAGCAGCTTCTGGGACGACTGCGTCAAGTACAACTGCACGGTCAGGCCCCGCCCCTCCCAGCCAGGCCCCACCTCCTCCCAGTCAGGCTCCACCTCCTCCTGGTGAGGCCCCGCCCCTTCCAGCAAGGCCCCCACCTCCTCCTGGTCAGGCCCCCGCTCTCTCCCAGCCTGGCCCTGCCCCCGACCAGGTCCTACTCCCTTATGTGCGCCCTCTGGTCCACCTGCTGGCGCAATCATCTCTGGGAGTTGGGGGAAGGAATGGCTGTCCAGCACGGGGACAGAGACGGCAGTGTTTCCTGAGTGCTTGCTCTGTGTCCAGACCAGGGCCAAACCTTCCGCCTGTAAATTCAATGCAGCCCTTATAACTGCTTGGCGGATGGACAAGGGCATCACACCCATTTTGCAGATGAGGAAACTGAGGCTTATAATGTGACGATGATTGGGCCCAGGGTGCCTAAGCTCCTTAAGGCAATGCCTTCCCTATGCCTCCTGCCCCTTGGGTCTTCCCTGTCGTTGACTGTAGGGAATTGAGACCAGTGGGTACCCTGGGGTGGGAAGAGCTACGAGGCTGGGGCTTCCAGGTGAGGAATGTGTAAGGTGGAAGTGGAGTCATCTGCCGTCTCGGAGAAGAGAGCTGGTGGAGGTTAAGAGCAGGGATTCTCCTTTCCCCTCCATGGTGAGAGGAAACCAGGCTGAGGGTTTCCATGCTGTAAGGGGGGATACAGGAAATACAGGTGGGAGGTACAGGAAACAGGTGCAGAGCCCGGAGGAAGTAGCAAGGCTGGCTGGGTAAGGATTGGGGGAGACATCGTGCCACTGCACTCCAGCCTGGGTGACACAGCAAGACTCCCTCTCAAAAAATAAAGGACTGTGGCAAGTTGGCAGATGCAGATTGGACAGATGCTGCCCAGAGAGGTTCGGCCACCTGTGCAGGTCACACAGCTGGGCAGGGATGGGGGGCTTTGGGCTGAGCATCCTGGGATACACCACCAGGTCCACAGCTGTGCTTGGCTCCACTTTTGAGGAGTTTTGGTTCTGCTTGGAAGGTCTTGGGAAAGTTACTAATCTGCATGTTGAAATACAAAAGCACTTTTAATTTTATTCATTTATTATTTTTGAGACAGAGTTTTGCTGTTGTTGCCTACTGCAACTTCCACCACCCGGGTTCAAGCCATTCTCCTGCCTCAGTTTCCCAAGTAGCTGGGATTACAGGCATGTCACCACCACGCCTCATTAGTTCTATATCTTTACTAGAGACGGAGTTTCTCCATGTTGGTCAGGCTGGTTTCCAACTCCCGACCTCAGGTGATCCATCCGCCTTGGCCTCCCAAAGTGCAGGGATTACAGGTGTGAGTCACCACCCCTGGCCTATTTATTATTATTTTTTCTTGAGACAAGATGTCACTCTGTCGCCCAGGCTGGAGTACAATGGCGTTATCATGGCTGACTGCAGCTTCAGCCTCCTGGGCTCAAACGATTCTCCAGCGTCTGCCTCCCAAGTGTCTGGGACTACAGGTGTGCGCCACCATGCCACCATTTTTGTATTTTTTTTGTAGAGATGGGGTTTCGCCATGTGGCCCAGGCCAGTCTCAAACTCCTGGGTTCAAGCGATCCACCCACCTTGGTCTCCCAAAGTGCTGGGATTACAGGCATGAGCCACTGCACCCGGTCCAAACGTATCTTTTTAAAAAAAAATTATAGGGGGTAGCAAATACACATAAATGTGAACAGAAAAGTATAGACAGTTCTGGTGCATCCCTCAGCTGGACCAGGGGCGATTAGATATCCCGCCCTTCCCTCAGCTCCTCTCCACATCCTTCACTAGGCAGTGGCGTAAAGCATCCCTGAGACAGCTTCGTGTTTCCTGTGTAGCTGTTTCAGTATAACCTTTGAAGGATGAGGACTTGTTTCAAATTCAAGTGAAATTCATGTAAATTAGCCATATTAAAGTGAATAATTGGGCCAGGCTCGATGGCTCATGCCTATAATCCCAGCACTTTGGGAGGCCAAGGCGGGCAGATCACTTGAGGTCAGGAGTTTGAGACCAGCCTGGCCAACATGGTGAAACCCCATCTCTACTAAAAATACAAAAAACTAGCTTGGCGTGGTGGCGGGTGCCTGTAATCCCAGCTACTCGGGAGGCTGAAGTGGGAGAATCGCCTAAACCCGGGAGGCGGCGGTTGCAGTGAGCTGAGATTGTGCCACTGCGCTCCAGCTTGGGTGACAGAGTGAGATGCTATCTCAAAAATAAATAAATAAATAAGTGAATAATTTGGTGGCATTCACAATGTACAATCACCATGTCTATCTAGATCCAGAACATTCTCATGCTCCCCAGAGGAAATTCCATCCCTACATACTCCGCTTTTCCCCACCCGCAGCCCCTGGCAACCACTGATCTGCTTCCTGTCGCTATGATTTGCCTGTTCTGAACATATCAGATCAATGGAGTCAGAAACTGTAGCCTTTTGTGTCTAGTAAGGATTGTTTTTAAGTGACAGTGATTTCTCGGTGTCGTCAGCAATCTGGGCAGTGGCTCAATCCTGTCTCACAATGTCAAAAATGTGTTTTTTCTTATTTCCATAATTAAAAAAAAATACACAGCCAGCATTATGTTTGGTTGATGTGTCTTATAAGAATTCTTGGCTGAGCGCGATCGCTCACGCCTGTAATCCCAGCACTTTGGAAGGCCAAGGCAGGAGGATCACTTGAGCCCAGGAATTGGAGACTGGCCTGGGCAACATAGCGAAACCCTCATCTCTACAAAAAACTTAAAAACTACCTGGATGTGGTGGTTTCTGCCTGTAGTCCCAGCTGCTTGGGAGGCTGAGGTGGGAGGACAGCTTGAGCGTTTCCTCTCTGGGCCTCAGTGCCTTCACTCCAAACTCAGCTCAGAGTGTGGCGGTGGTGTCTGCTCAGCACTTTGGCTTAATCATCAGCCATTTAGTCAGTGCATCCTCAGGAAGCCCACTCAGAGATGAGAACGCAAAGGCACCGTGGGATGCCTGGCAGGTGACCCCAGGAAGCCCTTGCTGGGCTGGAGAATGTGTGGCAGGGAGGGAGGGTGTCCTGCTTCTCCAGGGCTCAGCTGGGGCACAGGGAATGCCTCTCAGTGATGCTTGAGCTGAGACTGAAGAGTCCTAGCAGATGCATCTGGGGGAAGACTGCTTCAGGCAAAAGGCGTAGCATGTGCAGACTCCCTGAGGGGCAGAGTTTTCCGGGGAGATGGAGAGGCGGGCGCGAGGGCGGCAGGGCCAGATCCAGCTGTGCGCCACTGGGAGGCCCTGAGCACATCTGCAGCTGTTAGGATCCATCCGGTGGGTAATCCCTGCCATGCAACTGTTGTATTCCCACTCTGGGGCCAGGATGCCTGGGTTCAGATCATTCTGCCACTTCCCAGCTCTGTGATCTCGTTCCAGTTCCTTACCATCTATGAGCCTTGGTTTCTCCCTCTGTAAAGTTGGGTGTGAAGCCCGCCTGGAGATGAGAACGCAAAGGCACCGTGGGGCACCTGGCGAATGACCCCAGGAAGCCCTTGCGGGGCTGGAGAATGTGTGGCAGGGAAGGAGGATGTCCTGTAGGGGGAGCCAATGAGCAGGCGGCTCCGTGGGCGCCTGGGGCTCAGCGCAGATGCAGAGCAGACTAGTGTGTGCACCCGGGAGTGGTCCGCCAAGGGGTGAGGCTCTGGCCAGCCCAGGCTCAGCCAGGAGGCTCTGCAGGACGCTGTAGGCTCCAGGCCGAGGGTTGCCCTGCGGGGTGTCAGCTCTCCTGCTAGTCCTGCCCTGTGTGCCTGCTGAGGCTCAGACTCGGATGTGGTATCTCCAGGAAGCTGCCTGCGGGAATGGAAGGACCATGAAGGGACTTGGGGGTGGGTGGGTAGAAGACACTGTCTGCATCTGCTTGGATACAAGTTGCATCCGTCTAGGCACAAGTAGATCACGCCTGAAATCTCACACTTTGGGAGGCTGAGGCAGGGGGATTGCTTGAGGCCAGGAGTTCAAGACCAGCCTGGGCAACAGAGCGAGATCCCCCATCTGTACAAAAATCTGTAGTCCCCGCTACTTGGGAGGCTGAGTCTGGAAGATCACTTGAACCCAGGAGTTTGAGGCTGCAGTGAGCCATGATCACGCCACTGCACTCCAGCCTGGGTGACACAGGGAGACGCCAACTGAAAAATAATAATAATAATTAAAGCTGCATCCTAGGCGCTTTGCAAGAGACTGATCAAGTCCCAGGAGTCCACGTGGACCCCACGAGAGCTATCATCATCCTTAGGCTATTTCGCTCATAGGATTAGCTCCCTGGATGGGGCGGTCTCGGGGACCCTCCACCGCCTGCCGGGCCCATCGCCCACTTCTCCAACCCCCTCAGGTGGTTCAGTACATTGGGGAGATCTGCCGCTACCTGTTGAAGCAGCCGGTGCGCGAGGCGGAGAGGCGACACCGCGTGCGCCTGGCGGTGGGGAACGGGCTGCGTCCCGCCATCTGGGAGGAGTTCACGCAGCGCTTCGGCGTGCGCCAGATCGGGGAGTTCTACGGCGCCACGGAGTGCAACTGCAGCATTGCCAACATGGATGGCAAGGTGCGCGCCTGGAGGGCCCTGGGCAGGTGTCGGAGTTCAGGGAAGGCCACTGCCTCCTCTTCCCCGGGCCCCTGGGATCCACAAAACAGCGTGGATTGGCGGAAGGCTCCGCCAAGGGCGCGCGCAGGGTGGGGCGTAAGGCGAATTCCTGGGACCCCAGGTACACCACCAGCGGGTCAATGCAGGGTACGCAGGGACAATCCTCCAGCCTGCACAGTGTGACTGTGGTCTTTCAGTCAGGAGAGTTGCAGGCCAGGTGTGGCTGTGCGCCCTGGCAGGAGCCTCAGCCTTTCTGAGCCGCCGTTTCTGCGTGTGGTGATCAGCAAAGATAATAGGGCTCTGGGTACAGTGCTGTTATTCTTTGTTGTCGTTGTTTGAGACAGAATCCTGCTGTTGCCCAGGTTGGAGTGTGTGTGATCATAGCTCACTGTAGCCTTCAGCTCCTGAGCTCAAGCAATCCTCCTGCCTCAGCCTCCCAAGTTGCAGCAGAGACGTTCATGGTTAGCAACTACTTGCTCTATTAATGAGCGCCATTCTGCACTGGCGTGAATCTCCCTCTCCTTTCCCAAGCCTCTTCCATCCAAGGCCAAGAACAGATCATAATAATGAGCATTAAGCAAGTGTCGGCTGGCCTTGGTGGCTCACACCTGTAATCCTAACAAATGGGGAGGCTGAGGCAGGAGGATCACCTGAGCCCAGGAGTTTGGGACCAGCATAGGCAATGTAGTGAGACCCCCTTCTCTACAAAATATAGAAAATTAGCCAGGCACGGTGGTGGGTGTCTGTAGTCACTGCTACTAAGGAGGCTGAGGCGGGAGGATCACTTGAGCTTACGAGATTGAGGCTGCAGTGAGTTATGATTGTACCACTGGATTCCAGTCTGGGCAACAGTGCGAGACTGTCTCTCTAAAAAGGAAATAAAGCAGCAAGTGCCACGGGAGCTGGGTCCCCAGTGCCAAGGACACTGCTTCCTCACTGTGCTTGGTGTTGGATGGCCATCCCCCCCACCCCGGGCATCTTTGCTCACTGTAGCTCAGATTGCTGCATAGGAAACACAGCAGGCCAGGCACGATGGCTCACACCTGTGATCCCAGCACTTCAGGAAGCCGAGACAGGCAGATCACTTGAGGTCACGAGTTCGAGGCCAGTCTGGCCAAGATGGCAAAACCCTGCCTCTACTATAAATACCAAAAAATTTAGCTGGGCTCGGTAGCGTGTGCCCTTAATCCCAGACTCAGGAGGCTGGGGCATGAGAACCACTTAAACCTGGGAGGCAGAGGTTACAGTGAGCCGAGATTGCGCCACTGCACTCCAGCCTAGGTGACAAGAAAGAAACACACTAGACAGAGTGTGGTGGCTCAAACATGTTGGCCATGCATTTCCGTTCACAGAACCATGCCAAGCAGGGCGGCGGGCAGCAGGGGAATCTCTGCAGGGTCTCACGTAGTGTAGGGTCACCAAGGCATCCACTTCCTACCAGCATGGAGGGTTTTGTGGGCCAGGAAGTGGTCGCCAGCTGCAGGTCTTCCCTTGACAGCATGCAGGCTGGGAAGGTGGCAGGAGGGGCCCTGAGTTGGAGGCGACACTTACTACCCTGCTTCTGCAGATCAGCCAAGGTCACAGAGCTTAGCGCCACACTGGAGGTGCTATTCCAAGCCCTGGGGCAAGGCAGGCAAAGTGTTAGTGCAAAGGACCCCGCGTACCCCCGGCTCCTTCCAACTCAGTTCGCCCCACCCCAGGTTGGCTCCTGTGGTTTCAACAGCCGCATCCTGCCCCACGTGTACCCCATCCAGTTGGTGAAGGTCAATGAGGACACGATGGAGCTGCTGCGGGATGCCCAGGGCCTCTGCATCCCCTGCCAGGCCGGTGAGTGGGTCCCCCATGTGGTCCCCTCCTGAAGCTGGGGTCCCCACGCTCTGCCTGCCCAGCGCAGCCTGAGTGTGGCCTCCTTCCCAGGGGAGCCTGGCCTCCTTGTGGGTCAGATCAACCAGCAGGACCCGCTGCGCCGCTTCGATGGCTATGTCAGCAAGAGCGCTACCAGCAAGAAGATCGCCCACAGCGTCTTCAGCAAGGGCGACAGCGTCTATCTCTCAGGTGCGCAGCCTGCTAGGCTCTGGTGACTGGCTGTGAGGATGGGGATCGGCCACCCATCTACCCCTCTCCCCTCTGCCAGGTGACGTGCTGGTGATGGACGAGCTGGGCTACATGTACTTCCGGGACCGTAGCGGGGATACCTTCCGCTGGCGAGGGGAGAACGTCTCCACCACCGAGGTGGAGGGTGTCCTGAGCCGCTTGCTGGGCCAGACAGACGTGGCCGTCTATGGGGTGGCTGTTCCAGGCAAGCTGGGATTGCAGGGGGTGGTCCTGAGGCATGGTCCTGAGGGCGCTCAGCCAAAAAGGGCTTGGAGGTACAGGTGCCCTTGGGCAGTGCACAACCTAGACAACTGCTCATGGCAGCCCAGGAAGCAGCACTGGATCTGGAGTCAGTTCACCTGGGTGATGTTGAGCCTCAGTTTTGTCACCCAGAACATAGGATCAAGAAAGCCCTCCTGTCTAAGAGCTTCAACGAGCCAAGCAGGAGCTCTGTAAAATGTGTGCTGCTTCCATAAACGGCATCCCAGGCGGGGAGAGACTGGATATCAGAGACCAAGGGCTACTGCCTGACAGTGTATGGAGCCTTGCTGGTGGGGAGGGGGACGGGTGGGGTGTCCTCACTGAGCCTCTGCTTCCAGGAGTGGAGGGTAAGGCAGGGATGGCGGCCATCGCGGATCCCCAGAGCCTGCTGGACCCCAATGCGATGTACCAGGAGCTGCAGAAGGTGCTGGCGCCCTATGCCCGGCCCATGTTCCTGCGCCTCCTGCCCCAGGTGGACACCACAGGTGCAGGTCCCCCCACCCCTACCCTCTCTCTTCATCAGCGTGTCTGCTGATTCGTTTCTTGGTCCATTTGTTGCTATAAAAGAATACTTGGCCGGGCGCGGTGGCTCACGCCTATAATCCCAGCACTTTGGGAGGCCGAGGTGGGTGGATCACCTGAGGTCAGGAGTTCGAGACTAGCCTGGTCAACATGGTGAAATCGCATCTCAAACTGGTCTTAAACTCCTGGGCACAAGGGACCCTCGTACCTCGGCCTCCCAAAGTGCTGAGATTATAGGCATGAGCCATTATTGTGCCCGGCCCCCATAAAACTTTATTTATAAAAACAGGTGGAGGGCCAAATTTGGCCCACAGGATGGAAGTTGCTAAACTGTGATCCACTGTGTAACAGACACAGCCCTGCCTGTCGCGTGGTCACACATGACCAGGCAGGGTGCACACTGTTTCTTGCTCTGGTGAGGAGTGGTCAGGGAGGCCTCCCTGGAGGAGGGTGCATGAAGCCAGGATCTGACAGAGAAGGGGGAATCAACCAGGCAAAATGGAGAAGAACATTTCCGCCCAGGGACAGCCTGTGTGGAAGCCCAGAGGTGCAGGAGAGATGTTCCCCAAGGCCACCTGCTCAGCCCGTATCTGCCCCCACCCCCACTACAGGCACCTTCAAGATCCAGAAGACGAGGCTGCAGCAAGAGGGCTTTGACCCGCGCCAGACCTCGGACCGGCTCTTCTTCCTGGACCTGAAGCAGGGCCACTACCTGCCCTTGAATGAAGCGGTCTACACTCGCATCTGCTCGGGCACCTTCTCCCTCTGAAGTTCCTCCCCTGCTGGCCAGAAACTCCAGGCCTGGTGGGAGAGGCCGGCTTGAGCCAGACAGCCCTGCACAGGGGTGGTGGCCTCCTGCGCAGCCACCTGGCCGAGCTGTACCTGGTGGGGCCCGTCCTGGACTGAAACTGGGACCTCGGATGAAGCCGTGCCTCTCTGCTGCATTGGCACTCCTGCGTCTGTCCCCTCTTCCTGCCTTTCCTCCTCTGGCTCCTTCCATCCCTGTCCCTGTCTGGCCTTAACTCTTCCCTCTTTTACTTTTTTTTGAGACAGTCTCGCTCTGTCGCCTGGGCTGAAGTGCAATGGTGGGATCTTGCGCCGCAGCCTCCTCAGTAGCTGGGATTACACCCGCCACCACGACCAGCTCATTTTTGTGGTGTGCCACCGCGCCCGGCTTTCCTCCTTTTCCTCTCCTCTCTCCCTCCTCTTCTCTCCTGCTAAGAGTGGAATGTGTGTGTCGGGAGCTGGGGCTCGGACCGCCGGACCCTGGCCTCGGACTGGGGCCTCCGACCTCCCTCCTGGCTGTGCCTTACGGAGCCCCGCCCAGGCCTCCTGCAGCTGTTGGGTTCCACATGCTGCAGCCCCACGTGACTTCCAAGCAGGCCCTCCACCCTCCCTGCTGAATGGAGGAGCTGGGGGCCCCAGGGGCCAACTGGAAACGTCGCCCAGGCTAGGCCCATTGCCTTTTGCACTTCCCCATTCCTGGCGCCTTTCCCCAGCCCCACCTTCCCCTCCCGATGCCCTGAAAGCTTCTGGAATTGACTGTGACTGCTTGAATGTCGCCACTGCCAGCCCTGCCTCAATGTCCCCATTTAGCCATCTCCATGGAACTCCTGCCGGAGGGCCCTGAACCCTGCACTGCATGGCTGCCCAGCTGGCTCCTTCCTGTCCCAGGAGGAGGCCTCTTGGGTGTCCTCATCTGCTATGGCTACTGGAGAGTCCCACAGGAGAGGCAGCAGTGGGGTCAGGGGAGGTCTCCTGCCTGGGGTTGACCTCTCAAGCCTCAGGGGTTCTAGCCTGCTGAATATACCCCACCTGGGGCATGACGCTGTCCCCACTGATGGCTCTGACGCTGTGTTGGTGGCGATGTCCCACAAAATCCCACCAGGTCAGCCCAAATGTCCCTGTGGGCCCACTAGTGGCTCATCACGGACACCCAGTCCAGCCTTTCTGGGGCTGGCCACCCAGGCTGCCTGTGCGTCTGTCTTCCCTCCAGCAGCACCTCCTGGCCCCTGGAATGGTGGGGCCATGGCGAGTGACCCCATGGCATCTCATGGGGACTTTCCTGGGCACTGTGGTTTTATTTTCTAATTGGTTTAAGAAATAAACCTGAAGACTGTCTGCTGCCTGCTAGGAGCCCATTCATTGATTGTCCCCACGTGGCACAGAACCTTTGCAGGGTTTCAGAAAGCAGGACTCAGCTGGCCCTGGGCACAGTGGCTCATGTCTGTAATCCCAGCACTTTGGGAGGCTGAGGTGGGAGAGTCATTTGAGCCTAGGAGTTCGAGACTAGCCTGGCCAACATGGTGAAACCCCATCTCTACTAAAAATACAAAAAAAAAAAAAAAAAATTAGCTGAGTGTGGCACACCTGTAATCCCAGCTACTCAGGAGACTGAAGCAGAAGAATCGCTGGAACCCGGGAGGCAGAGGTTGCAGTGCACTCCAGTGTGGGTGACAGAGCAAGACTCTGGTCCAAAATAAATAAATAAGTAAATAAATGCAAAAAGGAGCCAGGCGTGGTGGTGCATACCTGTAATCCCAGCTACTCGGGAGACTGAGGCAGGAGAACTGCTTGAGCCCAGGAGGTGGAGGTTGCAGTGAGCTATCGTGATACAGCACTCCATTCTAGGTGACAGAGCAAGACTCTGTCTCAAAAATATAATTAAAAAAAAGGGCCAGGCGCGTTGGCTCACGCCTGTAATCCCAGCACTTTGAGAGTCCGAGGTGGGTGGATCACGAGGTCAGGAGTTCAAGACCAGCCCAGCCAAGATGGTGAAACCCAGGCTCTCCTAAAAAAAAAAAATAGAAAAATTAGCCGGGTGTTGAACCTGTAATCTCAGCTACTCCAGGAGGGTGGGGCAGAGAACTGCTTAAAAACCTGGGAGGTGGAGGCTGCAGTTAGCTGAGATCGCACCACTGCACTCCAGCCTGGGCAACAGAGTGAGACTCTGTCAAAAAAAAAAAAAAAAGGTGGCGGGACCCACACAGTCTGGGGCTGGCCCATCTGCAAGACCAAAGGGGCCTTGGTGCAGGGGCACTCGGGTTGGTCCTCTCCCTGGCCTGCCGGGGCGGGCGTGGGGGGGAGGGCGCCTCCCTGCAGCCTCTGGGCCTCACAGCCACAAGTTGGCCTCTGTGGTTACATGGGAGGGATGGCCGATTTGCCCGGGAGTTCCTGTAGGTGTTGCAGGATGGCCCAGATCAGAGGGTGTGTCCTGGCACCTGTGGCTGCCCCGGGAGTGTCCTGTGCACAGGCTGGCTGGTGTGAAAGTTGCTAGGACTGCTGGGGTGGCCATCTGAGCTGGGATTCGAACCCAGGACTCGAAGCTCAGGAGTCTATAGTTTTCCTCCCAACCCCTGGGGAATATGTCCCAAGACCCCAAATAGATGCCTAAAACTGACTATAATACTGAGTCCTATAGGTTTATTTCTTTCTGTTTTTCCCTCCCTCCCTCCCTCTCTCCCTTTCTTTCCTTTTTTTATTCTTTCTTTCTTT